TCTGCTGTAGTGGAAGTCTACCTCTGTGTCCACATCCACATCTAAGCACTGGGGCTCCTGGCGAACTACAACTCCAGCTGGTGGGGGAAAAGGGGAAGGAGAGCGAGAGAGTGAGATGAATGTGGCCCTCAACGGGTCACCAAAACTCATTAACTGTGCACCCTTAGTCTTGACACAATGGAGACAGACTTGCAAGCCATAAATGGAACAAAGGAATGAAACAAGGATAGGCTAAGCACAGGGTTGAGTGAAGAACAGACTTCACAGAATAAGAAGGGGTACCATTAAGTTTAACCCAGAGGCATGTTGGCTCTGCATTGCTAAAAGGAGTGAAGAAAGATAGAAGAGTAACCATTAAAGTGGGCACATATTATGCACAAAAGGAAGTGTAAGAAAGTGTTATTCCATACAATCACTTTTCAGGGCAGAAATATACTATGGCTAATTAGTCATTCATCTAAATGTTGACTTTTATACAGAATTAAAAATATCATTAAACTGATAAGCATGTACTTGAGGTTAATAATATTTTAGTATGTTTGAGAACAAGACCTCTTATGATGAACATTACCTGCAAAAAGAGAATTTTTAAAAAAGAATTACAAAACAGAAATGAATTATGAAATTATTTCACATGATCACAAACCTGACTGTCATTTTGAGGGACACAGTCTTTGTTGCTTCTTTAGACATACCTAGATTTCTTTCTTTTCCTCCAGAAGTCTTAGCATACCACCTCACAATCCAACCTCTTTCAAGCCCTCACTTTAACACCCCACAGTACCTTGCATGCCAGGGAGGTATGTCTCTGTATCCCCCATTCCTCCCACCTTCCTGTGCCAAGTCCCAGCATCCCCTCTGGCCCATAATAAGAGTCATTTGCACTTCACCAATTCTCAAACTGTGCGATTTATGAGCCTACTGAGGTTTCAACAACAGTAAGATACTATTTCATAAGACTAAAGCAATAATTATCAACAAATAGCATTTATTAATGAAAAAATTACTATTAACCGCTCCTCGCAATGATTACCTGCTAGTGCCCATTCACCAGTGCCATGTGAGTGACCACTGTAATACAAAATATAAGTGTCATGTCTGGGTCCGTCTGCTGTCCGAAGCTCAAGAAATGATTTGATCTTGGAATGAAGCGTATCAAAAGAAAGTCCACTTGTAGAATAGTCACAACCATACGTCTCAATCATGTGATATGCAAAAAATCGCTGGATGGCATTGAGCATGCCAGTAGACCTCAAATTTAACTCTTGCACATGCTCAGGTGGAAGAAGAGTTGGTTGACCATCAGGACTAAAGTGAAGGAAATATACAATCATAAATATTTTTTCTTTTATACTTCATGTTCTTCTAGCAACGAATGAAATCAGTTTTATCTGTGCATTTTCAGATTACACATAAACATAACCAAAGTAATTCTTACTTGTACTTACAGTTGGGACTCCAAATATGATTCAGATAAGACAATACAGGCATACCTCGTTTTATTGCGCTTCGCAGATATTGCATTTTTTTTACAAATTGAGGCAAGATCCTCCACCAGCAAAAAGATTATGACTCTCTGAAGGCTCAGATGATGGTTAGCATTTTTTAGCAATAAAGTATTTTTTAA